AGTATCACTACAACTGCTAGTAACTTATCTTCAAAGGAAAGAAGATTTCTCTTAGAAAATTCTAATATCAGGCTCTGATCCTCCAATGAGTCCTGCTCAGGCAGAGCCCTGCACCCCCTTCCTGACACCCCCACCTCTTGTCCCCCCAGTCTCCTGAAGTCCATAATACTCTGCCAGGAGCAAAGAGATCTCCCTGTGAAATCCACTGCAGGTTCAAGCATGTCCTGCTTCCAGCTCCTCTCCTCCAGCAACTCACCAGATACTCCACACCTTATCATGATACACCTTATTTCAGCTCCTTAAATGTTTTTGGCTCCTATGTATTCCATTTTACCTTGGCAAAGCTCAGAGCAAGTTCTTTAGGTCCACCTCTTCGCTGATTGTGGTAAGCCTTGCAGAAACCCTTTGAAGAGCCTGGAATGAAGCAGGACACACGGCAGAGGGACACTCACTCCACCGCTGCTCCACAACACGGGTTCCCAGCTGCATCTGTGACTTTGTTGGCTGGTGTCAAGAGATATCTCTGTATCAGGCATGCTTCGTCTGAGATAACATGAACCAGGTCAGACCAGTTGCTGCGTGACTCCGCCTGTTTTAATGCAAAGTTTCAAATAGGGTGTTATTGTCATACACTGGTAATTGTTCTTAAAGCTAAAACGTGATGGGAAGTGTGGTGTAAACACTGAGCAAACACAAAGCCTTTCAGGATCAGGACAAGGCTCTGCTGTCGGCTGCACTGCTCGTCTGTGTGATGCTGGGCTGGGATTCATGTGACTAGCATTACACTGGAAGGCTGTGGCAGAGCCCAATCTTTTGCATCTTATTCCAGAGTTTTAATAGCAAAACTATCCCTCCTGGAGCTAATCCTTGCCTTAAATCATTTACAGACCGAGGCAAAATTCGTTAGTTGACTACTATTACAACATCAAGACACAAACAAGGTGTTTTGGGATGAGCTTGCATGTATGTTGCAAGTTTTAAGCTGTTACTTGAGAAAAGGTAGAAAGAAAAAGATGAAAAATGGCAATAAAATTAAATTGCCCAGTCTGTCATTTGTTATTTGTTCCACTTGTAGTTCTGTCATCTATAATTTGCTAGTGGATGAATTACCTGACTTTTCTTCGTAAAGATGACAGAAATGCCTTTAAACAAGGGAGGATAGTTCCTTGGGCAGACTATCACCACATCCAGTCACCATAAGTCTTCGTAACTAAATTGTATTAATTGCAGTAATTTTAGTTTTTAGTGTTTTGATAATGATGTCTTTTCACACAGTACTATATTGTTGTCATAGTATTATGTTAACATTTCTGATCAGGCTTTCCTAGAAATCTTTGTTCCTGTATGTGCATCTTTCCAACCTAAATGATTCTATGATTCTGTGTAGACAAAAGGGAGAAACTCGCATCTCAACATTTTAATGTTAAACCTTTTAAGCATATTGAGTCACTATTGACACCTCCTAAGTCAGGGGAGACTCCCTTTTGGTACAATCCTTTCCACTGACTGATGACTTATCTCACATCTAGCCCATACAAATATGAACTGGGTTAAAGTGATTCTTAGAAGCGATAGGTACATTAACTTTTTGTTTGTTTATTTAGCTAGCCTTGAAAGGTTAATTTCTTTAGCTGCAGATTGTAGATGCTAAAATACCCTCCACCTTCTGTGTTCTGTAACACTAGCAGAAAATTAAGAAGGAAGGTTAATATGTAGATAAGGGAGTTTGTGTTTTTTCATTTCTTCAGGACTACGTGAGTCCAGTAAAGTTATGAATTATTCACATTGAAATTCATTTGAATTATCTTCTGCTCACATAATTAAAGACTGTTGTTAGGGTACAAATTGGTTCATTAAATGGTAAAAAGAAGCACACACACACAAAAAAAATCTGCTTCCCAGTTATTCTAGGTCATCCTGGCCAAAACTGGATTCAGTGCTAGTTCACAGGTGCTCAGAACTGTGATGCTACAGTATACAGTATGCTCAAATCTTTTGATCTGGTGCTTAGATCTGTGATGTGGTGTCATATTCAAAGGGAGCTGCTGTTTGGTATTTATATCTCTAAGAATTTATAGACAAACTCAGAAAGGCTTATTCATTAGAATTTAAGGGCCTCACAGAAAATCAGCACCTTATCTACTTCTGATATAATTTTGTTGTTTGTAATACTGGACCAAACCCCCACTTCATTCCATCCTCACCATTTCTTCCCACTTCAGGAGAGTTTACTGCAGAAACAAGTCATTAAACTTTTAAATTAATCTGGTTGATTCAATAAATTATTGTTGTTAATTTAAATCCATGGATTTTACCTATTTTGAGTATTTTAGCTCCCTGTGGAGCTCAAGAAATCAGAATTACTCATTACATTAAGAAGCCTTTCTGGTACCTGGTATTATAGTCCCAAACCATACTTTAAGCTTCTGCTGCAAGAGGAACTTCAATAGCAGTCTGGTGGTGGAGATTTCAGATTGCTTAGAATATTCAGCAATGTTGCCAAGTTAAAATTAAAATGACAACATATTTAGGTCTTTTTAGTTTATATATGAGAGCATCGTCTTGCATCCTAGATGCAAATACATACTAGGCAATCTTATAAATCTTCATTCTAGCTAGTATTGAGCATCAACTGGAGCTTAACTTCTCTAGGCTTGCTTTTCTTAGCACATGTGAAGTGATTATTTAGTGGTGTTCATGCTGCCTTTCAGCAGTCAGTGAGCCACCGCAGCTCTCCACCAGTGCTTAGGACAAGGTTACCGGGAGGGCAGGGCATCTTCATATTTGTAACGAATTAGTCAGAGGATTTACTCCAGCAGACAAGCATGAAATCGGTTTTCTCTGCGAGTTTACTAATACCAGGAAAGCTCATAGCTCAGCAACATTGTGAGATGTCAGCACTTCTGTGTTGGCTTCTAGAAAACTTCTCACTTTAATGGGGTTAACTACTTCAGTATTATCTAGGACCCATGAAGTAAGTAGCAAACCTCAAAGTGCTGACTTCCCATCCCTTAGAAGTTCCTAAGAATTTCTCTTCCATAAGCTTGTCCAAGCTGTCCTGTCCCTGAACTCACATACATTTCTAGCACACCCAGCATCCTGTATCAAACACCTTGCAATTATGCAACTGTGAGAAGAATCATCTCTTTTTGTTTGTCTTGAGGTGTGCAACTGCTGGCTTCATTTCATGCTTCCATTACTAGTGTGAGAGAAAATGAACCAGTCAGTTTATATCTGCCTTCTCAGCGTTCTTCCTTGTTTTATAGATCACATTCACACCTTCATCTCTTTCCTGGGATGACTCCTGTTTTAATTTTATATGCCAGAGGAGGTGGGAAAATAATTGCTTAATGCATGCAGCTGGAGTAGATGAACATTAGTCTTTTGCCCTCCATTACTAAAAAAGTAAGGAAAATTGCTTTTGTCCACGAGTTTTCTCAATGAATGTGTGTTTTCTTGAGGGATGAAATGGCCAAATGTGGAAGAAGGTTCTTTTTGCGGCTCAAACACAGCTGTGTGCAGTTTTCCTAAAAGCTCCCTTCTATAGCAACATCTCTGAGAGAGGAATTTAGGTGAGGAAGCACTGTGCATATAATATATTATGGTAAAAAACAGGACTAATAGGTATAATGTATTAAAGTTATTGTGTAGGGTTG